AATTAATTATCATAACACAGGTGCATGCAATGCTATCTATTAAATAACCACAACATAGTAATTAATAACGCATGTCTGTACGAAGCTATGAATGGAATTTTAATGTGCCTATGACATTGAAAATATAATCAAATAAAATCAAAATGCATCCTTATTTATATATGTACGTCCATATCTCCAAAGATGCCTCACGAATCATAAAATAATTTTTGTGTGTGACCCTTGAGGATGCTAGGTCAATGATTTACCTTCGAAACAGGAAGCAATTCTGCCGTTTTTTAAAGGTACCTACCTGTGTATTGATTTGAGCAACTAAAACTGAAAGCGATTGTAAAGATGATATATGAAAAAATTTCTCTACTTCTAAAGATCTAAAGGAAATGGAATAGAAGGAAGTAATAAAATTGGTCGGTCACGACAACACTTGCAGGTCAGTGGCCACCTGCAAGGAGAACGTTTTTTTTTTGCTAAAAGTAATTTTGTAGCCTAGAAAACTTTAAACGATAGATTTTTAATTTGTACATTTCTGTAGGCCTGTGAAATAATCCATCCGAAGTCCTCTGCCCTTACGATATTTATTACTTTGTGTATATCTATTGATAGTAACAATGTATGAATTCGTCTGATGTTATTTTAGAACAAAATACATTTTTTTGTCACGTTAATAGTAAACGTATGCCCTATCGATTCGACAGCACGTTTGTTCTTTTGATAGCCGATAGTATTAAATCATACAAAAGAAAATTTGCCAGAAACTTTCAGGAAATATTAGATCGGTAATTAAATCAAGTCGATTAACGACAGACGATATGACTAGTCCATAAACGAGAAGTTAAATATAAATGCACGGCGGGATAAATAAGGGATTATTAATACGAATAAGTAAAATAAATTTCTTCAAATTCGTTGTTTATTTAAATCTATTAACTTTGGAAATGCTTCCTCATAATTAGAATATTTCAAAACTGAAATGTGCAGCCCACCTCTAACAAGTTCAAACCTTCGAAAAAGGTTACTTATTGATTAACAACAGTTTTGGATAAGTTTATAAATAACAAAATCAGGAAATGCAAAATAGTTAATCAACTTCAATTGAAATTACTAAACTACTGGAAAGTATACAATTAAAGAACTGTCATGAACGAAAGTCAGAAAATAAATAAAAATGACCTTCAAATATAGATGAACTTTATTCTTATGTTAAACTGTGAGAGGACAAAATTTAAACAAACAATTACTATGTTTCTAATAAGGTAATAAGTATACAGTAAAGTTTTTACACAGTATTTACAAAACAATTATCTATTTATAAATCCTTGTAATTTTACAGTTTCTTCGAGAGTCATTATTACGTTTACTCTTATTATCATGATGTTCAAATTGATTTATTAGAATCAATTAAATATTGGTCCGTATACATTTTTTTATACCCCTTCTCCGAAATTACGATTTTTTATTGATTTCAAGGACAAAAAGGTAAAGAAAATTCCTCAGATAAGAAATCGCTTTTAAGGCGAGGGTGAAAATCACGCGGAAAATGGTAAAATCCTTCCGGAAAGTAATGTTGCGCTTTCGTCCCGGAAAAATCGCACTTTTAGTAAATTTTTACTGTATTTTAATTCACTTTGTCTTGTGTCTCCATTAAAGTATCCCAAAGAAAACATATATAATGATTGAAACGGAAAGGTGTTTAATTAAATACAACTAATAAACATTATAAAAATGTACTGTTATCTCACGATTACTAATAACATGAAAGTCATCAGCAATTGTGTCTGGGCGAAGTTTCGATGGTCCACTATGATAAGGTAATTGTAAGTGTGCTAGAATATTTTGAAAAGGTTATTTTCCTACAACATTACATATATCATGGAACTGTGACTGTTTGGAAAACCGTGGTCCCATCGAAATTTTTGAACCAATTTTTTAGGGTAGATTTGTTTTAATGTAAGGGGCTAAGGGAATAACTAAGATGGCCGCTTTAGGGGGGCAAAATTTGGAAAAATTTTGTCGGCTTCAATTTTAGTTTTGAAATTTTTCTCAAAATATTATTTCAAGCACTCTGAACCAGAATATATTCAGTGTTCAAACTTAATTATTTATGGTAACCATAGGCAAATACTTAATGGCATTTATACATTTTTTTTTAAACTTGAATTCGTTTATAGCCAATAAGGTAATCTAATAACCATAGTTCCTATGATTATGATATAATAAATTTTTAAATATATTTTTTCAATGTTAAAATTTGTAATATTTCAAAATTATTTCAATGTTTCTAGTGTAGAAAATTGCATGCAGTGATACATTTTTTTCTAATTGAAAATAATCCGCATTGATTTTCAAAATATTCTACCACACCTAGTACATCACCATGGACTATCTATTGAACCCATTTCGAACCTTCACTCAACTACAATTGCCTATGGCATCTTACCAATTCTGTTATCTACCCAAACCTAAATTTCTGGAGTAGTTTGTCCTAAAAATCTCCTGGTGATGAACTTATTTATCAGTACATTCCTTTAGAAACAATAACTAATAACATCAAGGGTAAATTAATAAAATATCTACAAATATGGAACTTATAGTTAGTTATAAAATTTTAATCCATACTCGGTAATTTCTCTTTTAAAATGAAATGAATAATAAGCTATCTCCTGAGGTCTTTTTATTCAGTTTAGCGTATCTAGCAAATAGGCATCAGAAAACCAGTCTATTTCAAATGAAACTGATTCGGCAAATACTCACGTCAAATTATAATTTATATATACAGCAATTTAGTAAAGTATATAAAATTCTTAATTACTATTTTTGTGTTATTTTTTCCTCATCGCGGAACTGAGCCTGCAATCATAATTTATTTTGAAAGGTAGTAATGGCGACGACCTACTAGCTGACGTATGGCTAATAAAAGGCAATAGCATGGTAAGTGACCAGTATTTATGAGGATGAATTGTTACATAATAGCATTAAACTGGCAATGTTCCATAAAGAGAATCCTCTATCTGTATACGACGTTCGTCATCTCGTCCGGCATTGTATGAATAACCAATTAAAACATTTTTGAACCTTTTGCATAATCGAAAATGTGTGTATATCAAGTAGGTATCTACGAAATGGACATTGCTTCTAACGAAAGTGAATGTACGGCATTTCTAAGGACAATTACATTTCTATTGACGAACGACAAATATGGCTCAAAACAATGTTTAATTTAACACTTGTTGCAATCATATCTCTCGCGTGTACTATATTGTCTACTTTCTCTTTCACAAAATCAAAAAGCTTCAGATTACTCAATATAATTCAAAGAATTTAGAAAACAATGAAGATTTAAAGTTCTTATATACGCCGCCACTGTAAAACCATTTCAAGCAAAAGCTGCAGATTATACACCCGTGAAAATTCAATCATTTTCAGCCAAATAGTATGAGCGTCCCTTTAAAAGCATTCGGTAGAAAAATATCTTAGGTTCGTCAGTGCAAAGTTCATTGATTTATTTTCTTCATATCTTCCCCCATAAAGTACGTAATCGACAAAAATTAAGCCAATAAGGGTTAGTTTTACTGATTTTTATGAAACCACACCGACGTTTCGCCTCTACATGCGAGATTTCTTCAAGGCTACAATAGTAGGTATTAAATTATGTAAATCCACAAAAATTGCAACGACAAAAACTAATTTTATAAAATGAAATCGGGTCTAGTCAGCAATATTTTTAAGGGCGGTACTATTTACTACCGATTAAAAGACTACTGACTTCAAAAAACAAAAAATGAAAGCAATTGCACAAAGTAATAGACAGCAGGCGGGAAAATAAAAAGCCAATCGCTGTTTAAGGTCTAGTTTACTTAACTGAACATTCCTAAAAAAAATATTAATAATAAATTAACTAATTTCGACACATATATAAGAAAACCGGAATTATGTCAATAAACCAAGTCGTTATTTTAATTGCTTTTTTTAGATTAACTTATTCCAAAACAAATTTGTTCCGTTAATGTTATTTATAGTAGACAAAAATAAAACTAAATCAAATAAAAAAAATTACTAAAATTTACAAATGACTAACACAAACTCTGGTCAATGAAGAAAATCCCACGCAATAAAAATGTTATCGTATTTTGTAATTAAGTAATTAAATCCGTATTATAATCCGTTAATCAAACAAGAATAAGTGTGTTGTTTGTTGAAAATGGGTGTGGTAATTAATTGATGGTCGAAAATGTCGTGTCATTTGTACCAAATTAACGCCGAGATTACATTGAAATTGATAAACTCAATCTCCATAATTTAATCCTGCTATTAAGGATTAAGGATATTACTTCTGCGGCTAAAAGTCGCAAACGTAGGCAGGTATTATTAACACATTATAAAGTGAGATACAGTGATTTGATATAAACATAGCGCCATTTAAAGGATAAATTAAATACCGAAAATATATTTTTTTACGAATGTAACTGAAAATATACCCATAAGCATATTAACATCACAAACGTGTCTAGATCTATTCCACCATACCTCAATGAGCAATATAGCAATAAAATGTATTGAGGAGTTTAATTGTAATCTCCAGTAGTATTATTTATGAAAAACAGACATGAAATCACTCAAGGGATTCGAAGCTCTTATTAGGGAAACAAATCTGAACTTGAATGCAAGATGCCCTCCATTTTATACTATACATTTGGATGCATAAGAAGAATTGCAACAAATCAATTATTGAAATTTGTTCAGTAAACCTAAACGAACAACAAATGTTACTGTAATATAAAAAGTTCTCAGATTTCCTCAAAAAAAAACTCTCGCATTCAATAATAGTTAATATCTTAACGAACCAATAAAGATTATTATAGTTTTTTGTAGCATATCGTTTATGAAAAGAGTTATTATATCATGTGTATTAAAAATTCACTGGTGCTAAGTTCGCTGTCAAATCCACGTGCAACAGTTGTTATAACAACTTGCTTAAAAAGACACAACATTGGGTCACTTACTGTGATGATCATCTTCATCACTACTAGCGCGCTAGAAGTCGGCAGCAGTTCAGTGTCTACAGTCACTCGTCGTTGACCCATCGTCAAAGTTCACTCGCTTTCCTCGCGACTTCTAACTACAGTTGAATAAGACGTTAGCTGCTGGGCACTTGCGTTGAAACACACGACTACGGAGGCACATAATAGTTGTAACCACGTTGGCGACGTGACCCCGACACTGTTCCACCTTCCTTGGGGGCCGTTAGTAAATGTCCGGAAGACGCGAAGCCCACGGGGTACCAAATAAATGTTGATTAAGTGGGGTAAATATCTTTCTGGTCAAGTCCGAGTGTGGTGATCGAGGCGCCCGGCGTGAACCCTGCGCTACCGCGGGACTTGGCCGCCACGCTACGGACATGAACTAATAAAGAAGCTTATGTTTGTTACTGTTACCTCCGACTTGGATGACGCGGAACGAATTAATGGAGACGATAGGTTGAGGAACACGGCATCGAGCAGTTTTAGAAAGTTAGTAGACGAATTCATAAGTCGAAATGTAAAGATGACATCGTAACAAACGACGGCATTTAATGAGGCAGTTTGTTATTATTAATGCAGTATGTGAATGAAATACGCAAGATTAGTGGATCACAAACCAGCATTTTTGTAAAATCTGGTAGAACCTTGGCGTGTGGAGACATCAAGAAATTCGCTGCGGTGCTTTCTGATTCTTTCTCCGCATTTATTGACCAATATACTCATTAATTATCTAAATGTGAATAATGAGAACCACTGGAAATGTTAATGGTTTAATGGACACCGATAGTCAGTTGTCTTTTTAATAAAGAAGCGATTACTAACTTATTCTTATTATAACACATATATATTTACAAAGCACCGAAAGTTACTCATTATTTTTTTTTTCTTATATTTACATATCATAGAAACATTTTTAAGTCAAGTAAAGAGATTTGTTTGTTTTACGAACATAAAAAGTGAAGGTAATTAGTTAAAATGAATAATAATTGATTTCTGACAGGAACTGTTTTTTAGATACGGCTTTAAGATTTGTATACAACTTTTGGAGGTTTTTTATTCCATAGTGCCGGTTATTTTAATTGCCAAGAACATATCTTTTCAATTATCTACTCCTACAATAAATAGAGTAATTTAAGCCAGAAGGACAATTGCCAATAGTTACACCTGTGATAATTGGACTAATTTAATAGTAGTTATTTTACCTGTACGTTTGTCAAATTCTTTGTTAACTGAAACAACAAATTAGGTGTCAAATAATCAATCAAAAACTAACCATACACAAATTTTTCATTGTTCAGGCGCCTATACTCCACGAAGGATTTTAAAGCTTCGATGAAAGCGTCTACAAATATTCTATAAGATACAAGCAAAAGAACAGCTTTTTCTAATACAAAATGCAAATACATTTTTGATTTGTTATTTCAAATGTAAAATACAAAATAGATTTCTCTTTTGTATTTTAAATGCTAAATGTAAAATACGTATTTTCAAAGTACTTATTCNCCTACATTTACTTAAGCATGAAACATTTTTTAAGAAAACCTTGCAGGCATTTGCTCATTTTTTAAATAATAGACTTTTTCTACACTAATAGTGGTGTTTGCACTATATCACCAGCTGCGAAGATTAAGTATGACTCCTATTTTTCTGTTTGAAGTGATTGAGATATAGTTTTTCTATCTTTATGCTATAGTTTCTTTAGATCAGCAACAAATAATTCTTCTATTTGCATCTTGATTTTCCTTTGTCACCGTTTTAATTAGAAAAAAGGCGCTGATGAGAAAATAATTTGTTTAGTGTGAAAGATCAGAGCCAAAATAGGGTTGCAAATAATTTTATTGATGTAAAATCACCATCGATCATTTTATATCAAAATATTTACAACCTCATTTTGTTTCCTATATTTTACACATTGTAATAAGTGAAGTTTTTCGAATCGTTTTCTATGAATTTTGGATTATAGGCATTTATTAGCACACCACAATATCTTGTAGTTTTCAGTTTTACACAGCTGGCGTATATCAAATCGATATTGTTTTGTGGATTGTTTTGTCGTAATTCATAGAATTTCGTAGTTGCTTGCTAAAGGTACGATAAGTAGTGATTTGGCAGGTGCTGATATCAATTTGGAACTTCAAAATTCCATGGATCATGACATTGAACCCGTAAAACAATATCGATCAAATATTGTAGATTATTTTACTGTTATTTTCAATTTGAAGCTGACGAATTTGTCAGGCAGGTATAAATTCTACATAGCATGCAAGTATATGACAATTTAGACTCTTTCTATCAACAAACTACTTAAAAAGTTACATGTAATTATGAAAACATAAAATGTAAAGAATGTGTAAGTTTCTCATACATTCCGGGGGGGGGGGGGGTAGCACCCTCAAAACTCTCCCTTGCGATCGTGCCTACTCGTCTAGAAGTTTTACTCCCGCCTCCTGGTGTAAAACGTCTCATTTCAACTATGGCAAAAATGCCAATCAAATTTCAAAGTCTGCTTAGTTTGAAATGTTTGCAATATTCTTTATTTGTTAAGTTGTTTTATTATTGAAGGGTCAATGTTATTTGCATCACCTCCAGATCATAGTGAAACGCCAATACAGGACAGTTTTCAATTAAAATGTACCTTTAATAGGGATTTTTGTTTGTACAGAATGAAACAATCGTTTCCTTCACAATTTCCTTTTTAAAGAAGCAGGACTCATGTATCCTTATACAACTATACAGCTGCCTCTGTATAAAATGTAATTTATTTCGCTCTGCATACTTATATGTATACTATATGCTTCTAAGCATTCACAACTTATCAAGAGTTGATACTCTAATTATTAAATACGAATGTGCAGCAATACGTAGCTTGGGTAAATTGTGGAATATTTATGATTTTTTTTCATTTACGAACAATAGTGATTACTTAGACCTTGAAAAACGGTTATTGTTATAGAAAATTGTTCCGATAGCATGTCGCTGTCTTTTTTTCAATGAGGCATTTTTTTAAGTTGTCTATGAGATAATTTTTAACCTACGTACTGTCACCTGGACCGATTGCCTTGTCAACAGTAACTAGAGTATCAAAGTGACCATGGATAATTGATTTACTACATCAGATTCGAATAATGTACTATAAATATTTAACAGCGAAAATAATAATTAAACCAGCAGCTTTTATTCGCCAGTTGTTATTTTTATTGCACCATAAATTTTTCACGAACTTGAGCAATACAATTAAAACATTTCCGAAAAGGATTTATAATTTTACTTCATAATTACATAATTAATTAACCATTATACTTAAGTATATAATTAAATGTTATAGTCAATAATCAATAATATATTAAATAGCATCTTTTAGAATTATATTATTTGAAGATCGAATTAGTTATAATCAAAATTTGAAAACTTCTTGCACGTCTGCACGAATCGAGTAAATAGATAAAGTACATCTTCAAAATTCTGAGACCAGAATTTTGCCTTTATATAATTTTGTTTAAGAAAATTGATGAAACAATAAAAAAATAATCAGATTCAACCTCGCGAAGCATTTCATCAAAAGTTATTTTTTTAATGTTTTATTTTAATTTACAAATGTTGAAATAAATAGGACGCCTATAAATTTCCCATAAGCTTCATTTCTACTTTTTCGATTAGTGTTGAATTTAGTATGCACACCATTTTTAAATGTCCACACACTAAAGTAATATTTGCTCTTTTTTTTCAGCAGTCAATTAGCGTCAATAATAACAATATGTGACTGTAATTCATAAAGAAATGTTACATAAACATATACATTTTTATCTAAATTCGGTATTTTCAGATATAGCTAAGCAAGTATGAATCTTAGACACTATGGATTCTCATACCTTCTCCTTTGTATGTGTTCCTTCTTTCATAAAGAAAGAAATCGTTTTAGTGCAAATTTTTTCAAAACCTACAATCTCGCAGTAATTCTCTTTTAGAAACATTTTAAAATCTTTTTAAATCATGATAGTTTCAATTTATGTAGCTTCAGAAATAAAAGAACACAATAAATAATTTAAAAAATCTGAACATTACAGGGACTACGTATTTCATCGAAAATTTTTTTAGGGGAATCTGCCAGGGATTCATGTTTGCTTTTGGGCAGGAAACCCCAAAATTAATAACCACATTTTCATTACACTTACCCGATGTTACGCCAAGTTATAATAGGCTCATTTAATGTGCAGGGTGTTTTTAAATAGTCAGTAATTCATGAGTTTACTATTATAGCCTAGTTTCTCTCCCATTTTGACATGTTGCGTCAATATAATGAATAGAAAGTTAAGCTAATAATTTTATAACACATCTTTCTGTCTCAACACGTACGTACAACAGTCCGTTTGTTTTAACGAATTGTTACGTATGTATATGTACATCTACCTAAGTTTAAATTCGAAATAATGTCAAGTAAACAAAAGTGCAAGTGGTAATTTCACTGTACACACCTAGACCAAACTGGGCAAAAAAACGTTAAGAAATATTCACAAAAAAGATCAACATCTTTGGTACCACAAAATTTCAACACAAGATACATAATTTAGTGCAACTACTTATGTACTTTGTTGTTGAAATTACCGAAAATGGTGCAGAAGCATATGACAAATTATATGACTCAAAATTAAAATGGAAAAAGGTCACTTTTTTTATAATGTACATCAATAAAATTTATTGGGCAGAACATAAGAATAGACTGCAAATAATCATTAATGAGTCTTACAATTTACATTTATATTTGCCTACCCTATGTCAATATTTTTGATTGATATATTCTTTTTATTTATAAACGCTTCAATTAAGTGGTACAAAGTTTTGGTTTAACTCGAAAATTGTACGTAAAAACATATCCACACTGATGGTCGAAAGGGATCAAAAAACTGCAAATGGAACGTCTTCAAATGTTCATTTAATGAACTCATAATTAGATCGATAGCTTTCTGTAAAATCGAAATGTGAGAATGGAGCGGTGTAAGATGATTTTGGGAGTTTCTGGAAAACATTAAAACGCATATCAGGGTTAAGGGTTAATATATACTATATTACCTAAATTAATGCAGAATATTTAGAATTGTATGAGAAAATAGACTAATTGAAGGAATACTGGAAGATGGATCAGGCAGACTATGAAGCAAAGTACAAGACGATGAGTGGGAGGGAAAAATTCTGAACTCTTCCTATAATAAAATAGGCCTTATAAGAAAATTATGCAGATAGGCAAGAGTGCGACATATTTAAATAAAATGGTAAAAATAACTCACATTCAATATGTTGTAAAAAAGCGATATAAGAAATCAAAAACAAGAATCTGTAAACTTTTTTGAGGAATATAAAGGTGATACGGATATGGAGAATTAACTG